GACACCGTCGATCTCATAGGGCTCGTCCGACGAGCTAAAGTGGCTGCTACTCGACGTAGATGGGCCGCCTGAGGTAGACGGATGGCCCGATGTAGATGGGCAGCTCGACGTAGACGGAGAGCCCGAGGTAGTTGGACAGCCCGAGGTAGTAGAATGGCCGCCTGGGCACATGTTTGCTGCGACGAGGGGAATAAAGAAAATAGAGAAAGCGAGGGAGCGAGACGAAGAGGGATTCTGGGGAGATAACGCTTTTTATTGGGGACGATAATCTACTACAGAAGGAATTCTACAGCCCTAATGGCGAAGGAATACTTATCTGTGGCTCACTGGCCCAGGGGCGACGCGCCAGTCGCGTCGAGATCGTGGGAGTTTGGTTTTGGCACCGCCACTGCCGCCGCGCCGCCACGCCGCCGCGGCGGCAAATGCCGCCTTTCCCATTTCCCGGGCGTTCTCACCCAGTCGCCGGCTTCTAGTAGCCGGCTTCTTTTCGATCAGAACTATCTGCTCTTCCCAACCTCCTCGAGCCATCCACTAGTCTACTCGATTTCCCCTTCGTGTACCTATGTCTACACGTTAATAGACATCTTGCTCTCATCAGGAAAGCGTATGTACCGCTAAGAGCTCGACTAGGTGGCTTTGGCTCAGGTGAGTATAGCCAAAGCCACCACCTCGCCTTGACCTCGCCCGACTCGGAGCGCTCGGGCCTCCTGCACAGGGTATCGACACTTAAGCGTTCGACGACGCTCTCTCTCTCTTGCTTCCTCCCACCATCTCCCCGTCGTTGTTCCCTCTCTTTCTACTCGTCAAGCGCTCGTTTTCCGCCCACCAGTTCGCCTCAATATGAGTTCAAACAATGTAAGTTTAGACTTCTATCTCTAATCTCACAACGTGCTCACTCACGCACACAGAACGACCCTCAAACCATCAACTACGTCTTTTGCAGATGCTCTATCTGCATCTGTAACTGCCCGGATCGCGAGGGCGACTGGGATCACCCGTCAACACGCGCGGCGCACGAGCGTTCACAAAACCTTTCGGCTTCAAGCGTTGGTGCACGCGGCCACTCGCCCTCCATGCGATCAATGGCCGTTCATACAGCCGGACACAATGTTCGGTCGTCTTCGCGCGGTCGTACAGCCCCAACGCGTCCTCTCCCTCCACGAGGTCGAGGAGAAGTCGCTCTTCCACGCGGGAGTATTCCACTGCCCCGAGCATCACCGGCGAGGGGCAGGGTACCGCCAGCTCCAACAATTGTCTCGGGTGGACGATCACGTCTATCGCCTCAGCCCCCAGCGGCGGGCCCATCTGTTCGTATTCCAAGGTGCGCTTTCATTCTCTCTCATCTACTCGTAGCGACTTACATGTTCATCTAGTCCTATGGATATCTCAGACGGAGAGGGCCTGATGGACGCTCGCCCATCAAGCCCGCCCACGTTTTTGCCACCACCAATGTCGCCCCCTCGTACGACCTCACCTCCAGCACCTCCCACCTTGACCCAACCTCTCTCACGCCAGCTATCAAGAGGCTTAGAGGCTCGGGACTACGCTCCGCTACCCACACCATCCGCCTCGGCTCGTTCGCGAGCCTCTCAGTCAACATCCACATCGGGTGCACGTACCAAGCGCACACGTCGTCCAGCACGGGTACGTGCCGCCCCTCTCGACTACAACTCGGAGGACGATGTAGATCCTCTCCCGGCGCCGAAGGTTGCTCAGCCATTGGCACATGACAACGTCGGGTTATACGACGATTCGGACGGAGGCGAAGACGTTCACAATAACCCACTCTTGCATACTCAAGCCGTCGACGAGGACGACCCATCAGCTAACACAAATACGCCTCTCCACTCCAACTCCTCGCCTCTCACGTTGACCATACCGACACCACAACAATACGATCCGCCATCTGATCCCATGGCTGTGTGGGTCGGCGCCCATCAGTCATCGTGGGTCGCGAGGCTCTTCATCTTCATTGTCGCGTTCCTGAACGCCCGGTTCCATCTCCCTTTCCGAGCATGCAACCTTCTTCTGCAGTGCGCACGTATCATTTTTGTTTCTATCAAGGTTCTCGATCCCACGGACACCGACTTTCCAGTTACGCTCAACACCGTTATACGCAAATTAGACCTCGGGGACCGCTTCACTGTATTCCCGATATGCAAGGACTGCCACCGTCTATTCCCAGTTACAACCCCCATCAACGCTGTCTGTCCGTCCTGCAACCTCCGACTCTACAAGCCTGTTTCGAACTCGGTCTTCCGACGGGTCACCGGTCAGCCTGCCAAACCCCCGCCTCCTGTCTGTGCAGCTCCTATGCAGCTCCCATCTAAGCTACTTGCCGACTTCTTGGCTCAGCCTGGATGTGAGTCGGATTGTGAGTCTTGGAAGCTGCGTTGCTCCACCCCTGGGCATCTACATGACATCAGCGACGGCCGCGTCTGGAATGAGGCCAAGGCGCCAGACAATACACCCTTCTTTTCCAAGGACAGCAATGACGGAGACGAGCTCCGCCTCGGGATTACGGTCAGTCTCGATTGGTGAGTGTGCGCACCATTTCTTGGGATGTGTTATCTCATATGTGTTGTAGGTTTGGACGCAAATCGAGCGTCTACGGACCCAGCCACTCCTCCGGCGTGTTCTCCATCTGCGTGTCAAACCTACCACGAGATAAACGGTGCGTAATATTATTTATACTGCATCATCTTACTAACCTACATCAAGTTATCGCGCCGGCAATCTACTGGTGTCGTTCATGACACCCGGCCCTCACGAACCCACGGCGGAGGAACTGCAGCACTACATGAAGCTCATCGTGGATGACCTTCTCGTACTTTTCACCGAAGGCGTTGTCTACATAACACCCAATTCCCCAGATGGTGAGCCCTTTATTTACTTATATTAACTTCTCTAATATCTCTCAGGGCGACGTGTACGTGTTCTACTATTGGCAGTCATTTGTGACCACCCCGCACTCTGCAAGATGTGTGGTTTTGCCGATCATGGTCACGATCAAGACCCATGTCCGAAGTGCGAGACAACAAAGGCGGAAATGTACTCGGATAGGGCCCTTCACAACCGTACGTTCAATCTTTAATACTCAGCCTTGGCAGACTTCACTTATATTTGCATTACAGAGTTCCCTCGCCGCTCAGGATCAGAGCATCGCCGTTTCGGACACGAGTGGAAAGAAATACACAATATCACAACCCGTAACCAGTTCTTCAAGGACCATGGTGCACGATGGACTGAACTGGCTCGTCTACCGTATTTCGACCTCGTTCGGCACTCCATTATTGACCCAATGCATAACATTCTGCTTGGTACGTTTCTTTGTTCTATTTCATGCCTTTCTAATGTCTAAAATACATAGGAATCTCAAGGGATCAGTGGTACTACCGGTGGATCAAGACATCAGCTATCCGGCCATCCACCAAAACCCACAATCGCGAGCTTGGGATAGTACATCAGTTCCTTGCATCGGTATGTCTACTTACATGTCAGTCATGCTTCGTTGCTGATGCAGAATTACTGTAGTTTGAGACGCCGTTGTGGGCGGGCAAGCTTCCCAGCCGTGTTGGAGAGAAAGCGGGAGGCAGCCTGACCGCCGACGAGTACAAGTTCTCTATGACTACCGCCTAGCCAATTATTGTAAGTCCTCTTTGTTGAACGGACTTGATCCGGACTCTATTTATGTACATGACTCATAGTAGTTTAGTAATGCACACAGTGCATCAGTCAGCATACACTTACTCATACGAATACTAAATATAGGCAACCAATAGCATAACTAACTCACCTACGTTACATGCATTACAGTCACAGTCACTCTCTAGTATATAAGCCAGTACTGTAGCGCCCTCTCAATCTAAGTCTTTCTCTCCTGAACGACTACCATCGCTACCAGCTCTATCAAGCTACAAAGCCTCTAAGCAAACCCAACAGGTGAGTACGTGAAGCCCGATGCGTGCACTGATGTGCCGCTTCCATTTCACACTCTTCCACTCCTCCGATCCCAAAGACTTACGATGGCTGCCAGGTACCAATTATCTGGGAGCTATTCCTCGGCGAGGCTGTGCGTGATCAGGAAGCAGCGCTTGCATCATTTCCCGCACGCCATGAGCGGTGGAAAGTTGACTGGGAGGGTTGGCAGACGCGTCATCCATCAGTAACTGCACCAAAGCGTAGCAACAGAGCTAGGGGAGGCAAAGACGATCCAGAGCCTGAGGAGCCTTTGCAACCCAAGGTACGCATGCACCCAGACGAGCCTGTCAATATTATCCGGTTTGCGACCGCATTGAAAGTTCTATGCGGGAGCTCGATTGAAGTTGCGCTTCTCCCTCGGGCGGAGGGGCTACTTCGAGAGTACCTCTTAACGTTTCGAAAGGTGAGCTCTCATCATTTCTAATACTCGCTTGATTATGATTCATTGTTGGAACTCTAGATATACGGTGTCGAGGCCATGAAGCCAAACTTCCATTGGTCTACGCACATTTGTGAACAGGTCCTTGACTACGGGCCGGTTTACAACTTCTGGGCCTTTCTTTCAGAGCGGCTCAACAAGATCCTCAAGTCGCAATCAGTAAACAACTGGATAGGAGGACAAGTGGAGATCACCATGATGCGGACATTTGCACGATCCTCACGACTCAATGCAACGGTATGTGTTAATTACATATGTACACTTGACCATTCTTATTATAGACCTAGATGACTGCAATAGCCAGACGCACCGACAATGATATCGTCAAGAAGGTGTTGGACCTCATGATCACCCAGGATTCAGAGGGAACTGGAACTCTAGGTGACGCACTTGTCTCTGATGGTGCGTTCGTGATTATTTCTCATGTGTCTCTATTGCTGATGACTGGGGCATTGTAGAGCTCTCCTCTGGCACTCGCGTTCAACTTGGAACGCCGGTCGTGGTAGAGAGCATTCGCCGACGACCCACGCTCAGTGACGCTGCAATGGCGTACATGCGTGATTTCTACAACACAGCTGCACAGGCGACAAACACTAACATTACTTTTGCTGTATCACGTCAGGTCAACGCAGCGCCCGGTGCCATCACTCTCAACCGTTTCTGCACTCTGTATCACTACGCCTTCCTCGACGGACGTCGAGTCATTCCTACATCAGAAGCTCGACGACAATCGGCTGACTCTGCTCTGGTGAAGGTCAATTGTCCGGGGGCGGGTGCAATATATGGCGAAGTTATATCTATCTTCAGTCACACGCAGGAAGGGATACCTTCCTCAAGACGTTTATTTGCAGAGTTTTGGTGGTTGAAAGAGCTGGAGTTATCCCCTGTGAACGATGACCCATGGCATGAATTGTAAGTTTTTGGTACTCTTGTTTGTGTCATAGGCTGAGACATCTTGCAGTCCCGAACTCGATGTTAGGTGCTTCGAACTGAATGCGTACCATCCCTCCACCGCACTACCACCAGTGCTTCCATTTGATTCAATTATCTGCGCCATTGCACGCGGAGTCGTTGAAACCACTGATCCACCCATGTGGATCACGACGTCGTTGGATCGAGTAAGTGCACAGTAATTGCTGGCATGCGTACTAAGTACATTCATACAGCACCCGAAAGCTTGACTGTTATCCATCCCAGACTCGGTCGTCCACCTTGACGTGCGCGCTCCTCCCCGACGCGTCTTCATCCACAGCAAGGCACCTCTGTGCAAGCTTGTTGTCGGCGAGTGCACCCATGGTCATGTACATGCGACGCCCCTCTGGGCTGGATGTCAGCCGCAATGGGCGCCCGCTGTTGTTAAGCAATGGCCCGCGTGGACTGAACGTGCTGCTCATGTACAGCGATGCGGATCCCGAGGTGTTGGCATCACCGTCTCTGCTACCTGCACCTCAGGATGGGTACGAGGGTGACGCATCATTGTCGTCATCTGCACCAGTGCACCCCTGCGCCTGCTCGTTGTCGACAAGTGCCCCCACGGTTGTGTACCTGCGCCGCCCGTCTGGGATGGACGTTGCTCGCGACGGGTGTACGCTGTCGTTTGGGAAAGGGCCGTTCGGGCCAAACTTGGAAGTCAGGTATCGTGATGTCAATCCGGAGGCGTTGTCGTCTCCGCCGCTGCCGCTGCCGTTTCAGTTTTGACCTGGTACGCAGTTTGGGAGCGGGAGCGGTTAGAATTGCTGACATGCATACTAATATACATTTGCCCAGCATCCGAGAGCGTGATCGCTAGTAATTACAAGGTAAGTCTGCATGTCGAGCTCCAAACGTTGCTGATCCACTCCGCCTCAAGAAAAGGTTACTGCAAGTCCCCTTACATGCTTGGGCCACTTTGCATGGCACTTGTTCCAGCGGTCCCTTCGCCCTGTCCGTTCTCAGCATTACCACCACCTACTTCGCCTCCACTCGCATCGCCTCCCCCTGCCCCATTTCCACCAGGTGTCTCGCTCCCAGTGCTCGTTCCATCTCCGGTTAGTTCACCGCCATTTCCAACCCCACCACTCCCCTGACCAGCTCCTTGCTCGCCCGTCCCCGCCGCTCCTTCCACAGTGAGTTCGCTTGTGATCTTCATTCCGACTGGATTACCCCACTCAAACCACAGTTTTAGTCCGTAAAGCTCCGCAACGCGAGCGTCCTCAAGCTTGAAAATGACCCAAGCCAGGCATATCAGGAAGTCCCAAGGTGCGCGTTCCGGGATTCGAGTCGACACACGGGCAGTTCTGACTCGAACCTTTTCAATTTTCTGCTTGTCCTTCGGCGACAGTGAATCACGGTACATGTCCGACAGCCTTTGAAAAAGCACGTTGCCCTACATACGAGGTGAGCCCGATTCAAGCGCAGTAAAACCCATCATGAACTCACCTCATAGCTCCTCCACTCACACGCCAAGACTTCAAAGAAGCTCGTCTGGTCGAAAACGTCGCCAGACGTCGGCATACCAATTTGCTGCGCCAACCGTACCTTCCACGCCTCTGGCGTCTCGTCTGAGCCCTCCTCGGGGCCCGAAACCTCATCCGACATGTATTCCTGGTGGATAGCCTCGCTTGGGTCTGCGTCGTCATTCTGACGGGCATATTCAGCCGCCATCTTCATGCGGTTGTCTGCTTTCTAAGAGAGCCCAACCAGTGAGCTATCATTTCGTGTTATAATCCGGGTACTCACTTCAACGCGACGACTGTAGTGTCTGGTGCGCTGTGCCGAAGCAGCATCCCTGCTCGCAACGTCGGGATTGTTCTGCTTCGACCACTCGTGTCTGAATCCTCTGAATGACACCTTTGCCAGCGTCTCGATACTCAGTTTGTCCCACTTCACCTTTCGGTTCTTCAATGACACCGGGATATTATCAGCCTGAGGACGGTAAGCATCTCCACGTAATTCAACACTGGATATATGCACTCACATCAGAGAAGTCGTCCCAGACAGACTGGGCGATTGCTTTCAAGACCACGCTGTTCCGAGGATCGTCGACCCCCATCTCAAAGTACGGTGTCACGTATGCGGCATCTGTTTTGGGATTAATCCGGCTAACCGCAGGATCGGGCCAGCGTTCGCCGAACAGGACACCGCATACAAGCCAAAACGCGGGCGCTATGAAGTCCTGGGTGCGTGGTCAGTTGCACTGGCTAATTAAATACTGATAATCATACTCACTATTAGGTCTTTGCGAGCGACCCGGGTCGCCGGCTCCTTCATAGCCTTAGGTTTGCCGCATATGTCCTCTGCATCCTTGTCGTACTGACCCACTCTCAGCTCCATGTGGTCGAGCGTGGCCAGTGCTCCCTGACCACGTCTGCGTCCGCGTCCGCGTCCACGTCCACGTCCACGACGACCCCCCCGTGCACCCTGCTCTCCCTGTGCACCCTGCCCGCCGCTCCCTCGCTGAGGACCCACCCCCTCGGCTCCTCCACTCGCCGGCACCACCCGACCAGCCTCAAGAGCGCTCACGCGCACTTCAAAATGCTCCGACATATGGGTGAGCTGATTGACGATGTCCTGGTTCGACAGGGCGACCACATTTTGTCTGGGGCCCAGATGTGAGTATATGCGTTTTTTTGTCGGGCTTTTACTCACGTTGTTTCGTTTGTAATGACAGGAAATGGGTATATACCCAAGTCATTGTAGCACCGGGCCTTCATTTCGTCCGGCCACGCCGCCCATAGCTCGTCACTGATCCCAAGTGTAGGCGGCCTCGGTAAGTTTGTCATATAAGACGCTCCCTGTATCTGATTATTCATGTTTGTAGCAGCGGATGCAGGGGCGGCCATGTCGGACGCAAAGAGCTACACTTGTGAGAGGATCTGGCAGTGGGCGAGCGCGTGAATGCGATGCGAGCGACGGCGGGGGTGTACCGGTTGCAAGGAGGGGCGGCGGTGAGCAGCAGAGAGCGCGAGGGAGGGGACGCGTCGGGATATCAGTCTCGTGATGTATATTATTTCATGCAATCTAATCTGATCTATTATTACATGCTTCTATCGTAGCGAATCTAAGGTTATAGTAGACCCCAAACGGGTAGAATAACCGTTCACGAACACGGCCTAGTATTCACCTTATATGACGTCACCTACTATAACCTAATCTCACATTCGAACACACGAGCAAATTACCCTTTTACCCCCCCATGTGCGTATACACAGCAGCATCTATTACGTTCTCTATTCTAACCTTGTTGTACGTGCTTGTAGTCGGCACGACCTAGGCTGTAGTAGAGGTGGTCTCCACCTAGTGAAAGTGCGCGGGAGGATCTGAGGGCTGCGTCAGGGTGCGTTTATACTCCACAAACGGGTGTACATACGCTGGTTCATTGTGATTGAAGGGCTTGACCTGTTCGTATAGCAGATACAGCACTTGGGCTAGTCGCACAGCCAAGCGGAGTCCAGACAAGCTGGCTCATTCCGGGATGCACAGCACTGAGAATATAAGCGCCGGGTGGCGTCCACGTCAAGTGTCTACTTGTGGCTGCTTCACGCACTTGTCATGACTCCGAGAAGCGCTGGGCCTGTGCGATGTTAAATGGATACGTGCCTATCCAACATCTCTTATTACCCGGCTTGGACGTGAGCTCTGGCTTCGTGCACTAAGTGCTGATGCCTGCTACCTGGTTGGACCCATTATCTCCCTACTTGGGCACAATGTAAGTGCGCATCAATCATCAACGCATTGGTATCGTACTTAGCGGATCTCTAGTGATCTCCTTCTGATGGTTCTCCATAGTCATAGTGGAAGCTGGACTTACCGTCGAAGTGCATTCTACTTAGGTTTGACACTGGCTATGGTGAGCGTTGGTATAAACATTAATAGCAGATATAGTTGCGGGGGACTGGAGACCATCGGAGCTCTTTGTCAGCAGTCAGCGCCTTCAGCTGCTCTTCCTGACAGCTCATCATAGTCCAATACCGCCACTGATAAATGCATCGCAGCTCGTTCAACATCAGAGCATCGCATACTGCAAACTCGATAAAAAGAATCCAAACATCGTCAAGATCCGGTTGACCATTCGTCCCTCATCTCAACGACAATTCCCTCCTTTGTGATCCCTCTCCCGATATGAGTTCTCAAGTTCCCCCCTCTGCAGCACTTGCTGCCCTCATTGACACTTTATATTCGAGCAAGACTGCACAATATGCTTCCGGTATGAAATGAATGCTGAGTGCTTGTACTGGCGTTGAATCTACCTTCTTAGTTGCATTGATGTCGCTCTATGTTTGGGACTTCCGTGAGTCGTAAGCCAACTCATTATCCCGGCAGAGATATGATAGATCCTTCATCTCAACACTCAGTCTTGACGTTTCCGGATGAGGCACGTAATCAAAGCTATCTATTAGCGACTCTACTTGCCTAACATAATAAAATCCCAGGTCAAGTTATGGGTATGTCTGTTGCACTAATGTGCACCAAAGTAAACGCATCTTACCTCCTTATCACAGAACACCAAGCTCAAGCTACCCAAGCTCCTTTTCTTCTTCGTGAGTCCCAACCGTCGCTCCATACTGGATTAAGAACCTCAGCAATTGTTCTATAGTATCGATATTTCTCCCTACTTGTCTGTTCCGTTTGGGTGTTCAGTATGTGCTTCTTTTCATAAGCTCTAATGTTAAGCGATAATAACATGTCTACGCCACAGGCAACGTTTTCCCTATAACAGCCCAGTATATGTTCGTGCTGAACATATTTCCTCATCTTTTATGGCGACCTCGTTATTCATCTGTTACTTCTGATTAGGTGTAAGAGCTGCTTGAGCATCCCAAAAGAGCTTTTGAAGTATTGAGCGTGTTTGAACTCTGCAGGTCGTTCTCTCCAAATTGCAATGGTCGTCTCAGGTATCAGATAGTGTTCTATTGGTATTTATCAAACTAACATTCTCTTCAGAGATTATCTCGTGGCTGTGTGCGGAAGGTAAGGAGTTTTCTCAGAATGTTGTGTTGATAAACATCATTGAACTCATCCACAGTAATACTTATGTGCCACCTATTTGCGATCTTTTCCTTCAGTAAGGGATAAGCCAATTGCTCATTGTTATAATCAAGCTTATTGAATTGTAATGGCAGACAGGTTTGTTGTTGCCCCTGTTACGGCCATGTTTTTTGCGTGTGGGGGGTGCTTCATTGGGGGAGCCATAGCGGACCTACCTCTTAGCCATGGTGCGTACTGTACACCAGTATTATATTCTAATAATTGACAACGAATCCGTCAAATATGAATAGTCCTCCAACCTGAGCTTGGAATGTGCATCATCAATGAACTTAGTCTGACGCCATACTTGACTAGGTGACTAATTTTGATGAGACACTGATGTTTAAAGTCTCCTAACGTCACAATATCAATGTCTGAACAGTGTTCCTGTTATGTCCATGGACTTTGTATTGGTCCTTTTGATCGGGGGGAAGTCAATCGCCTACCAGATGAATGTTCCGAACAAGAAATGGATGGGTGCGAATTTGATGAAGACCCTCGCCCAGCGCGCGTTTTTATGCTATTTATGGTGAGACACTATCTTAGTTTCGACGCGGATGGCTGATGTCTTACGTTATTTACAGTATCTTCTTAGCAACGCTGCTCCAGCTAGTGCTCTTCCTGACTAACCCGGTGTTTCTCTCTATATCTGCGGGAATAATGTTCACCCTCCTTCCGATCGCAATCAACCGCCTCGTCCTGGGATTGCACCAAATGAGTGCCAGTGATCTTGCTTCGTCAGGAGCTGCTTCAAAGCACTTTGGTGTTTGATCTCAGGTAGCTTGCATTGTTGAACGGGGTACTTACAAGCAGAAGTGACGCAAATTGTCTTCTTAGATTGTGATTCAGAGGTACGACTGTTGGGCTCTGCCATCAAGATTGTTGTATGTCGAAAGGTTATTCTAAGTGTATAATATGGTGTTGGCGTGGCATGCGGAATAAAAATTATGCACCTAAATCTCCCATTTAATTTAATGGCCTTCTTCATTTTCGCTTTTAATCATCTACCATGATACTGAACCTTTTGGTATTTGGGATGCCGTTCTACATTGATGTGCACTGCTTGTCTTATATCAATACGGCTACACGTCTTCTAACATCCTGTCAAGCCCGTATTACCGTGCACGACCTCTGGATACTCATGTTTATCGTTTAAAAGGTGAAAGTATCTATTTGTGATTTTGACGTGTCTCACACCCGGTCCCTATTGTTAGCCATGGTTCGCGATAACCATCTTTGTAGGCTGGACAACCAGTATGGGTCTTTCTTGCCATTCAAACGGTAGGCACTGTTCTACATGACCAACACAAGACATGCCGTGCTCCGCTACGGCACAATTGATGGGCGAAGACGTGAAAATCATAGCATGTACTACAAACTGTTTTCTGCTACATGTGAGAAAATCAGACAGGTTCTAGATCAACCACGGCCTACCACGTCACGGTGCTATGAAATCAAATCTCATCTGTTCCATGAGTTTTCCAATGATAGTCGTCATTGTTGGGTTTCGCAAGCCGGCGCGCAGCCCGACTGCGGATCGCCGAGTGTGGACCCAGGGCGCGAAGTGACGTGCCGGATCGCGATGGAGCTGGTGTCGCAGTGGCGACACCGACGTTGGAAGTCTCATCATCACGCTATACCCTTTTTCGTAGTGTTCGCTGACGTTTGTTTGACACTACCCACACGCCCGTTATCTCCTATCTTTCTAACTGGCCTGCTGACGTTCCTTTTGACTGATCGCATGTGAATGTTTCGTTTCTATCTCTACGTGTCATTGTTTCGGCCGATACGATACTACAGCACCTCAGCGTTCGCTTTCCCCGCGCGACGACTGAGACTTACATTTGGACCTTGGTGTCTAGATCGCGCGTGTTGCTCCTTGCATAACACCTTGAGTCCTCCCCTGTCTCGGCAAGTCGGTCGGACCTGTCATGAGGGCTTGCACTTTGCAACCGTGATGTATCAAACAAATAACAACCTATATAAGATTTCCTGAACCGTCAGATCTATCCCTTTAGATCTATTAGTCTCTGACGGCAGCACAATCTTTCATTGGGATAGTAGGTACCATCAGCAGAGCGTCTCAAGCAGAGTAAATGCCGGGGTTAGACTCATTAATCTAACAGAGTGAACATATACATGCATTCAACAATTTGAAGAAGTAACAATTAACTATCTACACGCAACGGGCAACAGACTATGATTCCAGAGCCATGTTCAGATGGGGGCGAGAGCGAGGGATCTATCCAAGCCCAGCCATCAATGGGCGGCGCAAGGAGACCGGGGGAAAGAGGGCGCTACGAGTGTCGAGAGCCTGAATTGGCCGTGGTCGAACACGTGTTTACAGGTGGCGATCTCGATGCTGTGATCAATGTGTGAGCAGCGGGAGTTGGTATTCGAGTGAGAGAGCGTACCTGGTTGTGAGCTTGCTGAACGCGGCTTGCCGGGTTACTCTTGCAGGCGGATAGCATAAGAGCAACGGCTCGGTCACAGTCAGGCTGGCTAAGGTGCCAGGGATGAGATAGGGCGCGCCGGGCAGCAGGGAACGAGCTGACCGTGGCTGAACATGAGCCCATGGGTGCCTGTGATGAACATTTTCGTCAGTGGGGAATGGTATTTGAGCGAGAGGGCGTACCTGCAAACCCTGCATCGGATGCAACGAGGGAGAAAATCACGAGCAAGTTGGGAGTAGAGTTGGATGGAGGCAAGCTGCTCTTTGCGAACGTCAAGTGGAGTTGGGAAGAGCGCTATCGCCACCTAGGAGCATGCTTTCGTGAGCTCATGGCCAAAAAGCGATAGATATGGTACGCACTGAAAATCCTGCTCCGTAGTCCTGGCGGGGCTGAAATAAGTGTGTGTAAACATTAAAGGACTTGGGCGACATACCAATCGTGCAACTGCGAAGACCCATGGTGCGAAAATGGGGAGGGGAAGGAGGAGGGGAGGAAAGGATGGCGACGAACAAAGCGCCAGCTCAGGCCCGACCATGATCTTATCAACGGGAGAACGGCCCAAAATGGTTGAGGATGTCCGGATCGAGAGCAAATCTGATCTCAAGGGGATCTGATCAAGAGCACAAACAAA